ATGCCAGTGTTTTTTAATCTTTCCAATGTGTATTCCAAGCTGGCAGAGATGTTATGCAAAAAATAGTAGGGGGATATGTTTAGAATGATCCATTTTGTATTATCCAATATGTGGAAGAGCATATACTAAAATGTGGTAGGATTGAGTGGTGGGATTTCAGGTTAAAAATTTTCTTGTTGTAATTCATGTTTTTCCCCTAACAATAAACATATACCACTTTTGAAGTAAAAAAAATAAGTCCAATATTTTCCACATCTTTTTATTGTTATTGTTTGCACTAGTCTCAGTGCCTGGAATTACCCTTCCTCTCTCATTAAAAGGACCCAATGTTGATGTCACTTTCTTCATGGAGTTCTTTCTGGACTGCTCAGTTAAAATTAATCTCTCTCTTTGCTGCATTTTCATAAGACTTGACTATATTTCTTATCAGCTATTATCATGAGTTAGAACTACATATGTGCAGGTCTCTTTGCACTCCTCTTTCCTCTGACCCCAACCAGCTTTCGAATTTGAGTTCTAGAAGGCATGTAGTGGCTCCCAAAGAGTGGGATTACTTGCACTTGGTAGATATTCTAATGTTGAATAAGTTGTATTTGCAGCACTGCAGTTTTTTTCTTTGTTAGAGCAAGAAAAGATAGATATAAATTCTGAGTCACAGTCAGCAGAGTTATTTTAAAATTCTGAGGGCAATGATATGTGTATGTACACCAGATGAATACTTTTCCTAATTGAGAAAGCTGCTGAAAATTCTCTGGCATAAAAGGAGCAATAAATAAATAAATATCATCTCTAAACCTACCATCTATTGCACCTCTAAAATTAAAACATGAATGCTACATTTTACTTGACATATACCATAGAAGTCTTATCCTTGAACTGAAAGCTCCAACTTGGGCTGTTTGTTCTAAAGCTTCCATAAAAAGGCAAATTCCTCAATTAGTCTACTGCAGTCATATACTGTACTGATGGCACTGAGAAGTGGGGATGCAAAATCACCTTTTCCCCTCTTCTTGTCTGGAAATTGACTTTTTAAAAATTAAGTTTGCCAGATAAGGAAACCTTTTGCTTTCTTTCTTTTTTTTTTTTTTCCAGATAGCATTCTGTTGATCTTTTCTTCCATATCTTTTTTCTTCTCCTTCCTCGAAGCTACTAGTCTTGATAGGGCTTGAATATTATCCTCCATTGATGGTTAACTACTAATCTCACTCCCATCTATTACTGCTAAGTAAATCTAAGTACAGCCCTGATCTCAACCTTTTCTTGCTCAGAAACCTATACCTCCTTCCATTGTCTTCTAAATTAATCTAAATAGTTCTTTAAAAAAATTTAATATATTTGACACATAATATTGTATACATTTAAGATATACAGCATGTTTCTTTGACACATTTATTGTAATATGATTGTCATTGTTACAATATTTATCATATAATTATGGTACAATATTGTTTACCTTATTCTCGCTCTTGAAGGCTATCACAATCCTTTCTGTTCTTTGTAGAGTGGAGAAGTCAGCAAACTATAGCTGGTGGGCCAAATTTTGTACTGCCCAGGAGCTAAGAATAGTGTTTACATTTTTAAATGTTTGAAAAAAATCAAAAGAAGGATATTTTGTGGCACATGAAATTATATAAAAATTAAAGTTTCAATATCCATAAATAAAGCTTTATTGGAACACAGTCATGCCCATTCATTTATATATTTTCTATGACTGCCTTCAAAATATAATAGTGTTGAGAAGTTGTGGCAGAGACCATACAGCCTGTGAAGCCTAAAATATTTACTTAGTTGGTCCTTTATAGAAAAAGTTTCCAACCCTTGACCTAGAATTATAAATTTATAAAGTTGTAAATAGACCTCAGAGATGTTCTGATCCAACTCTCTCATTTTAAAAATGGGAAAGTGTATTCTCAGACATAATTAACAGTGTGTCCAAGGCAGCTACCTTTGGCAATGGAAAAGCTAAACTGTGAGTCCGTCGCTGGTCCTACCTCACCATAGGACCCCTCCCACAAAGCTTGTACCGGCCCAATGGGATTGCTTGGCATTTCATGAATAAAAGCTTGTACCAGCCCAATGGGATTGCTTGGCATTTCATGCATCCCATACCACTTTTGCTTCTGTGCACATACTGCATTTCCTTCTATCTAAGATGCCTTCTTCCCACCAGAAATTTTACCCATGCTTTAAGGCTGAGCTCAAATACTGAAGACTGCCCTTATCTCAGCAACTCGTTGAGCTCTCTGTCCACTACTGATCTTCAGTAGTGCTAAGTTATATCTCCATGTTGGCGACCATCAGAGTCCTTCATATAGTCTTGATGCTATTCCAGGCCATAAACTCCCTAACTGTGCATCTTTGTGTCACCTGAATAAGTGTCATCTGCACATTGCCTTACATATAGAATTCTAAGGACATAATTTAAAGAATGAGTTACTCTAAAGATGTCAGGATGTAAGAGACACTGTCAGGATCTCTAGTTTACTTCTATTAAAAAAAGAAAATACAGCACCACTGAGTAATATTTTTGGTAGAACCATCTATACAGAAGAATTCATAGGACGTTTACCTACACCATACACCCTGGGAAGAGAACTTGGATTTGTCCTAAGGGGATTACCTAATTGTGTGATGATTATTTAAGCCTATTTATCAATTGCTAGGCTTATAGAAATTTGTCTGCTAAGGAAGGAATTTACACTTTAAAATCAAATTCAACAGTGAAAACCTTCCAGATTCTCTTAATCTTCAGGGATTCTCTGCTGTTACATCTTTCATATAAACTCTAAATTTGAGGTGGTTTCATTTATGAACAAAATATAGACTTGTGTTCTGATAATGAGTCATCAGGAGTGAACTTGATATTTAGTAAGGACTGAAGATAAAAGGATTGTAGTTTAGTGTTTAGGCGCTTTGCCAGCATTATTTTCAATATTTAAAACAATAACAGCAACAGAAACCTAGATAGATGAATGGACTTTCATTATAGTGTGATTCCCTCAATTCTAATTCTGCTTCATCCTTTTTCCAACTAGAAGTAAGTTATCTAAGATGGTAGAACCAGAACTTAGTTGTCTGTGGCAGCTGTTCAACATCTAGACTGCGATACTGATATTTCATGTTAGTAAGCAAGTGAAACAAAGGAAATAAACTTACATTTTTGTAAAAGACTTTCCTGATTAGACCAAGTTGTGTCTAATCTGTTAACGTGTGAAGAGCAGTGATGAGATACAATCAGCAAAAGGCACAAACACAACCAGTGTTGCTGGGGATGGTCAACAGCTTTTTCTGTCTGTACATCTTGGTGAGTTTGGTCTGGCTGTGCTGTAGCTCTTCTCTTATTTCATTTTTTAGCAATTTTAGAACTGAGTCTTGCCCATATCTAGTCACACTAAATTTCATTTGTAGTAGTAGAGAAGACAAGGTAAAAATGTTAAGAAGCCTAAAAGTAAAACTTTCAGGTTTTTTTTAGTATAGGTACCATAAAATAAGAGGTGGTTTTTTGTTTTGTTTCGTTTTTTTCTTGAGCATTTTAATTGGCAGCCTTAACCGTTTGACACATTAATATTACATAACATTGTATTTCCAGTTCTGGTTACTTGTAAGTATTGTATTTGTAGCTTGAGCTAGGAAATAGTAATTTTGCTTATGGCCCTCACTTAATGGGTTAGAGTGTCTAGAGCCAAATTCCATTACTGCAAGGAGTAACCTCCAATTGACAAGCAGTATGCTCCCAGCTAATGCTAACAGCACTTAAAGATTTTTGCCACTGGGTTACTATTTCAACTTTTGACCACCCCTGTTAAAAAAAAAAAAAAAAAAAGGGCTAGCAAACAATGGAAGCCCCTGAATCTCCAAGTGAGCCTAACCCAACCTGGCTATAGGAACCTTCCAGCTTCTGGGAAGGGAAACCAGAACAATTGTACATTGGTTGGTTAGACTGATGGTTTATATTTGTCTATTGTGAGCTTGAAGTTTTTCTTGCCACCTGACAAAACTTTAGATATCATTGAATTCTTCTCTATAATTTTAAAACAAATATAGTAAAGTGGCTAAAGATTAGAGCATGAATGTGCTGATGTCAACACCAGTATCAGAGTGATTTTAGGCAAATCAGTTAACCTCTGTGCTGCTATACTTCATCTGTAAAATGAGACAGTAATGGTACCTACCTCTTAGGGTTTTTATAAGGATTAATGAGATAATAAAAAGCTCCTGACTTAGAACATGTGCTAAGGGAAAAATACATTTTTAAAGGAGAAACTGGAATTTGCAAATGACTGCAATATACTGTAATGACAGAGGGAAAGAAAGAGGCCCTAATATTATTTAGCACCTTTTATCTTCCAGGCTCAGTTTTAGGTGATTTACATATGTATTACATTCTGAGAGATTTTACTTTTCCCATTTTACTGATGAGAACTTGCCCAAGGACACAGAGATAGTAGTAGCAGAGCAAGGTGAGATTCATTCCAAAGTCCCAGTTCTCTTCCCCTTACTCCATATTACCTTCAGGGTAGGATCTAGGTACCAGTTTTCCTAAGATAAAAATGGATTGCTTTTCAAAAATTCATTTACAAATTGGTTTAGAGTTATTTTTCCATAGGGACAATGTTACAAAGGGTGGTTACCCAGGCTTATCTGTAAAAGCTACAATGTAATTGAAATTCTGCCTATTTGTAAACTAAAACCGTTAAGAAAAAGTGTTTGCAATTTAAGCTATTAAAGCAGAAAAACAGAAAAAAAAAGATATCTTTTACGTTCTGTGGAATGATAGTACTTTGAGAAAAGCTGATTTGGTTAGAACACAATGAGGAAGAAGATGGAGACTGTTTAGATGCTGGTGGGGCCCCAGGATACTTTAATGGGCTAAACATTTATAGCACAGAGACATCCTATATTTGATAATACTTTATGGTGTACAAAGCATGTTCACATGCATTATTTCCTTATAATCATGTATGACACAGGTAAGACAAATGGTAAAGATCTAATTTCCCTTAGCAATATTTAGCTTTTTTCATGTTTTTATCCGTGATTTTTTAAAATGACCTTTGGGAGCCCAGCTAGTCACCTTAATACAGTCACAGAGGATTAGTGCATAGGTGTATTGAAGAAAGAATGAAAATAAAAGAACGAAGGTCTTCCTGAGTTAATTGTGCAGGAATAGAAGGAATTAGAATGGAGTAAAGAGTATATGTGAACAGATGAAAATGCTAGAGTTAAACGTTAACCTATTTTATTAATTATCTTTCTTTATCATTTACTTTTTTCAGTTGACACTTATTTTCTGGGCACTTATTATGTGCCAGTCACTGTGAGTCATGGCTACGAGGGAAAGAAGTTCAGACCCTACCACTAAAGAATTTGTTCTCTACCTGAAGATTACATTCAGATCATGCAGTGATCTTTTTCCTTTCCACCAGTATTTATGAATATGCAGTAGTTATTTAATTATGAAATTAGTGGAACTAATACTGAATTCTCATTTAAGTAACCTTTTTAATAACTAAAAAATTGAAAAAAAAACCCAAAAAACTAAAGAAGATTGAGTGAAAACCAGTCCTTTAATTTTCCCATAATTATTGCTTGAGTTTCTGGCACTAAAAGTAGAATTAAATGGTGAGAATTGGGGGACCTTTTTGTTCTTTTATGCAGCATTTATTTATATATGTTTGAAACCAAAATGAACATCACTTTAAATAGGGTTTGATATACTCTACATAAATATAGAAATGTTTGTCACTTAACAAAGAATTGCTTGCAGGTTAGAAGTGTACTTGTAAACTAAGGAAGTGAAGCCTCGAGGCTGGGATTCAAATTCTATTTCTGCAACTTTCTTAGATAAATACCTCTCCGAGCCTCATTTCTAAAGAATTTGGATTAGATTGCCAAATTCTTTTCCACTCTGAAATTCTCCATGAAATGGAAGTAGCTATATCTTGTCTTCCATCGAGAGAGATGGGAAAAAAGTGGGTGGTGGAGATAAGTTTCTTGTGTTGACTACCTGCTTTATTGTTAGCCATTCATAATACAAGTTTAAGTGATTATGAAGTCCACAGAAGAATCTTGAGTTAAGGGACAGAATGAAGTATTCACAAATTGGAGGACTGCCCATGGAATTTCATAAATAGAGATCTTGTGAGTAAGTCTGCTCTGCTAACATTTATTTAGCCTTAATTGATACACTAAATCTCATATTGGGTTAGAGTAAACAGCTGCTGCCCAGGCAGCTTAACACTGGTTCTAAGGAAAGTATGTTGCATCAAATGAGCTTACTTGACATTAAAATTTGTCACTTACATGGTTCATCTGCTGTTTAACCCATCTGATTGTGTTCTCATTGATGTACATGTAAATTGTTTGGCAGTTGGTCAAAATTTGAACCTTGTAGGCACTGGTGGTTTCTCATTACTTAGATCATATACCAAGAATATTGTTGACATGTTTTAGAAATTAGTCAGTATTTTTTTACCATAAAGGCAATGCACACTTACTTTTTTTAAAAATAGGAAGCACAGAAAAAGATTAAGAAGAAAATAAAAATCGCCTGAAATTTGACTTTCTGTGTTGTATTTTCTTCCAGTTATTTTTTTTTCAATATGGTTAGAGGAGAGTGGGATGTGAAATTATTAGCTTTTAGTGAAATAGCTGAGGCATATGTAAAATTTCACATGACACTCATGATATTGGGGAACTTGTCTAATGCACTGTTAATGTCTAATTAAGATTGAATCTTTTCGTTAAATCGGGTGTCACAAACTCAGATGCCTGTAGGGCCAAATAGTTAATAAGTGAATCAGGCCAGTTATAGGATACTGGGGAGTAGTAGGGACTGTATGGTAAATGAAAAAATACAGGCCGTGATTGAAGAAAACTACTGCTACCTCTAACTTACTGTTGCCATATGGAAACAGGGCTTCATGTTACCAGATCTTCCCGATATTCAGCAAAATCTAGAAATCTTTATTTCTTTTTAATGTGAAATTTCCCATTTTAAAAAATACTATGCAGGTCAAACAAAATAGATCTGTGGCCATTTGGTCCACACACTGCCATTTGGTCACTCCTGGCATAAGTACTTCTAAATCTTTCTCACAGTTCTCATAAGAAAAGTATATTTATAAAAGAAAACATTTAGAGAGGAGTTTCGTAAGAAACTTCCAGGAGACACTTCAGGAACTTTTCACTCTGTATAAAAGCTGAGAGGGTCGCCTAGTATAGGGATGGTGCTCACAGTCCCACAGGGACTAGGCAGTGACATAAATGAGTGAAAGGGTCTGGATGTTAAGATTATAGCAAGTGATGCAGAGAGTATATTCCCCATGTGGGACATTTGGGTTCTAGCAAATGGTTTCCTTGGGAATACAGATGATCTGACATGACAAAATCTTTTGATATTTCAAGAGATGTCAGAAATTTGTATCTTTGCGAAACTTCTTGAATTTAACAACAATGGCGGGAGGTGGGGGACATGGATAGAAAAACCACCCTTGGCCCAAATGCTGCACAAAGACCAAGTTTTCAACTCTTGACCTAGATCACTTTTTCTCTAAGTATATTCTACAAATCCTAATTACATCATAGGTTAATAGATGTTGTTAAGAAATTAAAAATTTGGGGATTCTAGGAAACATGGAGGATGAGAGATGTCCTCAGATCTCTCTCCTTGAAACAACAGTAAGCCGAACATCTAAAACTCAACAAAAAACACCCAAACTGAACACCAGCATGCCTGAGTGTGGGATCTGTGCATAAGAGTTACCATAGGTCAGAACCTCAGGTATTGGGCGGTGGACTGGGATAAATAAAGAAGCTGCCTCTCGCAGCCCGCCAGAGCTCCCTGCAGGAAGAGGGGGACGGGGAG